AGTAAATTTGTAGACATATTTTATAGTATCTCCCAAATATTTTATACCATCTATTACTACTTTGAATGGGAAATTTATTCCTTTTTCTTTCTATTGGATTTTCTTGTTAATATACAGAAATACTTATTATTTGTGTGGGTTTATTTATATATCCTACACTTTTGCTGATTTTTCCATTCAATTGAAGCTATTGTTTCAATTATTTTTGACCAATTCTCTAGGATTGTCTAAGTAGATCATCATATTGTCTTTCAAAAAGAAATAATTTTGTTAACCTTTTATCTATGATTATTCCCCCTTTTTTATTTTTCTTGTCTAATTGATATTGTTAGCATTTCTAGTACTGTGATAACAGTGGTGGTTATAGAAAATCTTATTTTACCACAAATCTTAGTTTGTTGTGACATATAATGTTGACTTTTTATTTTAGATAGATATTATTTATATTAAATAGTTACCTTTATTTTTATGTCTTTTGGTATTTTTAACAATTTTGTGATTTTTAAATTTTATTAAAGAGTTGGTCTATTACGTTTATAAAGTTTTCTAATATAGAACCAAACATTCATTCCTGATATAAATCCAACCTGGTCATAATGTATAATCTTTTAAATGTTGAAATCTCTTTGCTTAATATTTTATTTAACGTTTTTGCATTGATGTTCATTGGGAATATTGGTCTGTAGTTATTTCTGTTTTGTCTCTCCCTAGTTTAGCTATCAAGACAATATTTGGTTCATTGAAGGAATTTGATATGATGTCTGCAATTCCTATTGCTTAGAATTTTATGTGATATTATAATTAATTACTCTTTGAATTTCTGGTAGAATTAATTTGTAAATCCATAGGTTTCTATTTTTTCTCCTCTTATTTGTTCACTTGATACTCAATTCCTTTTGTGAGATTATTTAATTTTTTTCTATTTCTTATTTCATAATTTTTGAAACTGTATTTTTATAAATATCATTTATTTAATTAAGTTGTCAGCTTAAAGATAAAAGTATTTAGAGATATACATTTTCTCTTAGGACTATTTTGTCTGTATCTTGAAAGTTGTGGTATACTGTCTCATTGCTACAATGTTCTTTAGTTAAATTATCTGTTTTCTATTTGTTCTTTTACAAGCCAATTTTTAAAAATTAAACCATTTAGTTTCTGATTGATTTTAATATTAGTTTCTAATTGATTTTAATATTTCCCCCCTAAAATCCATTTACTGGATATACTTTTTATTATGTTATGAGCAAAAATGTGTTTAACAGTCCTGCTTTTCTATATATGTATTTTTTTTTTGCTCTAAAATGTGGCATACTTTTGTAAAAGCATATTTCATTGTTGAGAAAAATGTATATTAATATATTTCTAATTCAGTAATTTCCAGAAATCTGTCATTTTTCTAAAGTTATATGACAGTATTAAATTTATTTCTTGTTTATTTTTCTCTCTAGGTCTGAAATAGTCACATTGAGGATCTTAATGATATAGTTTTGCTTTCTATTTCTTTCTTTTAATCAATAAACATTTCCTTTAAGTATTTAGATGCTATACCACATGTTTACACACACCCACAATCACAAATACACACACATACACTGGGGGAAAGACAGAAACACAGAGTTGGGTGAATAATTCATAGAATTAGTCTGTTGGTTCTATGTATATACATGTATATAATAAACATATATACACATATAAACATATAATAAACATAAATCACATCTACATATATAAACTCCATATATCTGTATATATTATGGATGTGAGGATCAGAGATATTTGACGTAGAAGTATTTTCCCAGTCAACAGCTTCTCTTCTAATCATTTTGTTGATTTTATTCAAGTAACTGCTTTTCATTTTAATGTGACCAAAATTACTTCTTTTATGTTGTGTGATCACCTATGTTAGGGTAGCTTTCTCAAAGAGTTTAACTTACATTAAAGTATGAGTTCATTGAAGGTTTTCTGTGTATCCCTATTACTTGGCACAGTGCTTGGCATTTAATAAATGCTCATTGACTGACTGACTAGTCATTCTAATTAGGTATTGGGCTCTTATTCAAACTTTTTTCTAGTATTTCCAATCACCATCACATACTCTTTGGCTCCTCCCATTGCACAGAAACAAATCTCAGACGCTAAGGTTCTTAAAAGGTCTTAGTTTCCTTGTGTTGGGAGATCTGAAGTTTGCTTGAAAATTTGGTCTATTCTGCTCATTTGTGGGCTCAAAACACTTTTTATTCAAGATATATAACAATCTGATATGATATGACATAATACAATGTAATATGATATATAATGTGATGTGATGACATGGCACCACATGGCATGATATAAGTAATATAATAAAACATAGTATGATATATGACTTGACAATATAATATAATGTAATATAATGTAATGTAATATAAGATAATGTAATGTAATGATATGATATGATATGATGTCATGATATAATATGATATGATACGATACAATGTGATACAGTACAATATGGTACGACATGACATGACATGATATAACATAATATATAATACAGTAAAATAACATGATATAACAATATAATTATACAAATAGATACATACATAAAAATATAGTGATAGAAACGCTCCTTTCCTATTGGTAAGTTCCTCCCAGAACCTCAATTTTTGTAGGGACCAAGGCTGGACAACCTTTACTCCCCTCCCAATTCTGTATGGAAGTATGACTTTCCATATTTTGCCACCATGCCTCAGCTGCCATCTCAGCACCTGGAACCTTCTCACCCTGGAATATCCACCTACCTTTGTAACCTTCTCAATCTGAAACATCTTTCTACCACGCTGGTCTCCTTCTCCCAGGGCCTGCATTTTGAAGAGAGGCCTGGATAGGTTAATCTTTATTTTTCTCCTAGTTCTGTTTTTGACTTACCAGACTTCAACACCACGTCCTGGAATGGGTAATTTCCTCCACCTCAGCTAACCCAGTCTGATTGTTTGGCTGTCTTTTGTGTCTTGTCTTACCCCATTAGAATATAATTTCCTTGAGGGTAAAGACTGTCTTTCTTTTTGCTTTTATTTATTTCCCTAGCACTTAGTATGGTAGTGCCTGGTACATAGTAAGTGTTTAATAAATGTTTGTTACCTATTTGACTATAGATTGTCTATCTAACTACTCTATAAATATATACTACAGATTGTGTAACTACTATACATAAATAATACATAACCAATATAAGCAAGCCTTGATACATATATATATATACATATATTCATGTACTTTTATATATAGATATATCCATACACTGACATAGAAACATTATATATATATATATGCACACACACATGTGTGACATGCCTTGATATATTGTCATATATGTGTATTTATCTTTCTATCTATCACCACACAAGGGATAGAGGAACTAGAAATAAGGAGGAAAGCAGATTGTGTGTGTATGTGTGCATGGCATGTATAACCTAGGTGGAGATTCAGGTGGGTTGTGTGACTACTTGATAGCCACATCAAACGTCCAAACTTTAGCCTGTTATAGAACTTGTTACATTATTAATTCTTACCCTATCGAGGGATATTTCCTCATGAATTTATAAAATTATGATCTCCTATTAATTGATTAGTTAGTCCCATCTTAATAATCTTAATAAACCTCTTTTCTCATAATCTTTTATTCATCTCTCTTAACATCAAACTCACTAAGCTCCTAGACATCAAGATTACTGACTGCAACAATTTGCCAATAATGTAACAGAGTATAAACAAAAAAAAATAATCATTTGCAATACTGTTTGAGAAGGTCATGACTAGAGTCTCTACCATCTTGCAACTTCTTATTTCTTCTCACTTTTGGAAACACAGTCCCAAATTCAGCACTCATAGGATAAGTAATTAAAGGCTCATGAATTCTCTTTACAATTTTTTCCAAGATAAGAGTTGAACAAAGTTAATTTAGCCAATTTCTATTGATATTTAAATCCCAGGAAAGGAATTCTTTTATTCATTTCCCTCTCTTCTTAAACAATCTTCTCCTAATCATCACAGGTAATGGTTTCTCCAGAATGGAAGTAAAACTTCTAGTTTCCATACAGATGACAGTTAAATTGGAACTTCTCAAGATTCTATTCTTTCTTTAAAATACTATAACAGTATCAGTAGTCTCTGAGTAGATGGTTGGATTAAGCACTTTGGAATGGTCATGAAATTTGTCCAGCAACTTATGTAGTATTTTGAGGTTTAATGTGACCAGCAATATGTCATCTGTGAAAAGGAAGATTTCATAATACCTAGGATTTTGTGATGGATGTCTTCTGTGACACTGACAAATCCTTCTGGTACAAATACACGTTCATACTTTATCCTTTTCTTGATATTTAAATTATCAGAAGTTTGTCAGAATAATTCTGATGTTTACATGGAATTTTAAAACATTTTTATTAAGCACTTTTATAATTCATGAAAGAAAAATGTCTACTCTAATGTATCTTGAGAAATTAAAAATTGTCTATGGATTATTATATAACTAAACATTGTGGATTACACATATTTTACATTTCATCAGAATGGCTTGTTGTGGTGTTGACAAAGAAAAGGAAAAGTTACATGATCTGTGATTAAGAAAAAATTATTCATTTTTCTCTCAATAAGACTAGGAACTACCAAAGGATGATGGAAAGGTGATTCTGTTCCTATACATGTCCTTTTTATGTTAATCTTTTTAAAGGTGTCTGAGGGATAGATCTGAGACAGGAAGGAAGGGGCAAGATGCTCTGGAAGTTCCCAGGGTGAGTAATTTTGAACTGACTCACTAATGTCTTTATTATTTATCATTTATTACTTTTATTAGTTCTTTTATAGTGTCAGATTCTCTGAATTCTCAGCCAATGTTAATGATTATATATCTCTCAAATATAACATTTTTGATAGTTCTTTTTCAAAGTTGTTTTTACTGTCAATGGATACCATGATCACCTATCTCCAGAATCTTGCGTTTTCTTCTGGCCTTGAACAAAATGATGGGGATGACTAATGACAGCACAGGAGGTGACTTCATCCTGGTGGGTTTTTCAGACCAGCCCCAGCTAGAGAAGATCCTCTTCATTGTTGTTTTGATCTCCTACCTTCTGACCCTTGTAGGCAACATGGCTATTATCCTGGTCTCTCACCTGGATCCAAAACTTCACACCCCAATGTATTACTTCCTCACCAACCTGTCCCTCATTGACCTCTGTTTCACCACAAGTATTGTTCCTCAGCTGCTGTGGAACTTGAGAGGACCAGCCAAGACCATCACTCCCATAGGCTGTACCATCCAACTATATGTCTCTTTGGCACTGGGTTCCACTGAATGCATTCTCCTTGCTGTCATGGCATTTGATCGGTATGCTGCTATCTGTAAACCACTCCACTATGCTACTTTCATGCACCCAAGACTATGCCAGATCCTTGCAGGGGTTGCTTGGGTGAGTGGGTTGGGCTACACACTGATTCAGAGTACCATCACCCTTCAGCTGCCTCTGTGTGGGAACAGGAGGCTCTACCACTTTATGTGTGAAGTGCCTGCCATGATCAAGTTGGCATGTGTAGATATTCATGCCAATGAAATACAGCTTTTTGTGGCTTCCTTGGTCTTGCTCCTCCTGCCTCTGGGACTGATCTTAATTTCCTATGCACTCATTGTTCAGGAAGTGATGAGAATCAGGTCAACCGAAGCTTGGTATAAAGTCTTGAAAACCTGTGGGTCACATCTTTTGGTGGTGTCCCTCTTCTATGGGCCAAGCACAGCCATTTATATCCAGCCTAGCAGTTCCTATACCCACAGACAGGGCAAATTCATCACACTTTTGTACACTGTGGTGACTCCTACTCTTAACCCCCTTATTTATACTCTGAGGAACAAAGATATGAAAGAGGCACTAATAAGGCTTTTAGGAAAAAATACAAGATAAGGAAGACATATATCCATGGATAAGGGATGCATAGAATCCCATAGCTGAAGTGGACCATAAAAGTTGACTTACCTCTCTCCCTGTATAAGATCTTATTTAACATTTCTAAAACACACAAAAAAAGTATTCTTTTTTGTGCAAATTTACAAGGAAGTTCTCTCTGAAAGATTAACCTAATAAATCATCACAAGAACATGTAACCACATATTTTGTGAAAAAATATTTTTGGGGGGAAAAATATGAAAAACATAACTTGTTTCTGAAATAACTGACCAAGTTAGTTAATTCAGTTCAATAGGGGGTTGTTGGACCTTGTATGCACTATACTTTTCAATGCATTGGTTTTTTTGTTTGTTTGTTTTTTGAGATCTGTAGTCATTGTTACAGTCAGCAGTCCTTTTCCTCATCATCATATCTGTGCTTCATAATTCACCTGAGTATGCTGGGAAAAAATTGCTAAATGCAATTGTTTCTTTATTAAGTAAACCCAACACAAAATATATATTCAATTGAATTCATCCTTTTCCCTCCTGAATTTGTATAATCTCATATCTAGATACAGTCTTTCTCAACTCTTCTCGGATTCAATTCTATTCAAAAACATTTATTGAGCATGCCATATGCCCAGAGCCTTGTCCTAGGTACTGAGGAAAAATGAAATAGGAAAAAAAAACTACAATGGGGTTTGCTATTCAACTGAGTACTAACTTTGCTCCTGATCAACTTCTGTATGATTTTCATAATACTTACATCTGACTTTATTGAAGTCTAAATCCAATTTGTGTGTGTGTGTGTGTTAAATATTAAAGTTCATTTCAGTTCAATACATATTTACAATGTACTTTACCACAAGAGGTGATCTTGTAGAGTGTAAAAAGCACTGGATTTAAAGTGGAAGGACTTGGGTTTGTCTCCTAGCTCTGTTACTTACTCCATTGCCTTCAGTAAGTGGATGAAAGTGAGGACATTGCAATTTCTTCATTTTAAAAATTGAAGGCAATAATACTTTCATCCTTTATTTCATAAGGTTAATGAGAGTAAAGTGATTTGTACATCTTAAAGTGTTATATGACCATGAACTACTATTACAACAATAGGATAAATACTGCAAAGAATACAAAGACATAAAATGATATAGAACTCTTGCCCTCAAAATACTGTGGTCCCTACCTAGAAAAAAATATTTTGTCATAGGAAAATATTAAATGATTACAAAGATATAATAATATGTGCAAATGTTTATATGCATGATCTGAATAATCATTTAGACACTGTTTTGGGGTTAATAACTTGTCAAGGAAGTTGTGTTTGTAGATACAATAATGCAGTTATAACTACCATGGGAGGGGTAGGATTTTTGCCACATGTTGCCAGCATTATTTGTGATGGGATTACATTTTTTCCTCCAATGATTAAGATTGCTCCCTTTTCTAATTGTCACTTCCATGCCTCACTTAGCTATCTTCTGCTGTCTTTTTTTTTCTTTTCTTTTTGGTGAGGCGGTTGCGGTTAAATGACTTGCACAGGGGTCACACAGATAGTAAGTGTCAATTGTCTGAGGCTTGGATTTGAAATCAGGTCCTCCTGACTACAAGGCCAGAGCTCTATCCGCCTCACCACCTAGCTACTCCTTATCTTCTGCTGTCTTAAGCCATAATATAGCACACCATTCCACAGCTACCACCCTTAGGGATTCATCAGTTTGGGACTCTTCATCTGAAGTCCTTCTTCTCAACTCCTTTGGGAATAAGGAAGACCCCATTCTTTGTGGTATGGCTGAATAATTATGGTTTTTATTCCTGCTTCTATGCCACAATTATTTTTGTCCTAGTTAAATAAGTTATATTTATGCCTCTGGATCCAAGTATATGAAGAGCTTTATAAATTTTAAAGGGATGGGGACTGGAATAGACTTGGGATTTCATTGGTGCAGATTGACAACTTTCATATAACATAGTTTTAAAAATTTGATTACAGCATGAAGAGGTGAAGTGATTTGCCTAGGGTTACTTAGCCAATATGGTTAATAGGTTACTTGAACCCAGGTCTTCCTTATTTCAAGGTCAATTTTCAATCTACTGTTTCAGAGTTCATTTTAAAGCACTACATTGATGTCAGCTATTATGATTTGAATTTTACAGAACTTGTTAATGACTGAATAAGAGAAAATGGGTTTAACATATAGCAAAGGAATTTGTAGTTTATCTTTAGAAAGAACTTTCTGTTGGGTGGTGATAAGTATCCTGCTCCTGTCCAAAGGCCTCACTCACCTGTGGTTAGCTTCTTGAGTTTGTAAAGAAGTAAGTAGGATCTTTCTTGGAACTGGTTTAGTGGACTAATCTTCAACAACAGGGCTTTTTGCATTTTTTCTTAATACTTTTTATGAATTTATTTATATTATGAACTCAACAAATATCAATAAATATAATAAATATGAACATTTAAAAATACCAAGACATTTTAAAGAAACATTGTATATAGAGCTGTGAACTTATATTGCACAGTTTGTTTAATTTAAAAATTATATATTGAGTTTAACATGATAGTAGCAAAACTGTCCTGCTTGTCTGGGTCCCTTCTGAAGTTTCTTCTGTTCTACTCTCTATTTTAAAGGTCTCATTAATGCTCTTTGCTTTCTGTTTTTGTGTCTCTACCACTACCCACGTACTCCCACAATCCCTCCTCCCCAAAGAGAAGACCTCCCTTGTAAAAAAATAAGCATAGTTAAATAAAGTGTGTCATTGAAGACAATGTCTATGGATGAACACAAGGTTCTGGTGCCCCTCCTATCTGATCACAGAAACCCCAAGGCTGTGACCATGTTAAAAAAAGACAATTTCTTTATCTCATCATGTGAGAGCACAGAGGGGCTCAGGAAATGGAGACTGAAGAAACATACCTGAAAAAATAGAATGAAGTCTTCTGCTTCTGCAGGACATAAGGGAGAGGGGAGGAGCTCCTGGAGGACCCCAACCATAACCCCTGATGTTAGCACTATTATTATAGGGGTGGTGGTGATTATACATACCATTGAAAACTTGCCTGTTGCTGATGGAGAGACTGGTTTGTGTTGGTAGAGGAGAAACATGATGTTCTCCTTTTCCTTTTCTTAGCTCCTCTGTTTGCCCTCCAAGGAAAGTGTGTATCTATCCAAAGCATATCTCTGTTTCTTTATAGTTTATATTTTATTTATTACTATTCACCTAATCTCAAAAATATGGTATTAAGATAAAACTACAGTTAATTCCCAAAGCTTTATTGGTTTATATGTATTTCATTTGTTCAAAAGCATCTGAGAGGATGATTATGATCAGCTGTAGAGTGAGGCACTGAAAGAGAGAGGGGGCAGAGAGACAGACAGAAAGAGATGAATACAAATATAGAAATGGAGATAGAAACAAAAAGAGAGAGATACACAAGGAAATTCTTTCTGTAAATAACTGGAGTGTCCAGTTGAGGGCTCAAGTGAATCAATAAGATTTTTATTAAAAGCATACTATTATAGTCCTTTAGAACAAAGATAAAAATGAATTCAGACCATTACTGGATTCCACTAGGAAAAGAGTGTGCTAATGGTGCTGTTTGGGGAAAAGAGGCTTGGTGAGAAAAGGGTTGGAGTCATGTCCCCCTACAACAGTTGCCTCAGTAGCTTCAGACATATCTCCTCCTTATTGGTCCATTTTGAAGGCAGGTTCAGGTGAATCCTTCATTCTAAGGGATGAAACAAGGGTGATGATGAGAGAGATCCACTTGTGAAGGGAGGAGTTGGGAGACTGCTCAAATGAGGGTGGGGAACATCCCAAAGGGAGTAGAACATTTTCCATTTCAGTCAAATGCTTCCAGTTCCCAGCTATTGTTAGATAACAAAAGAAGAACTACAACTGTTGCAGAAATACAAAATATTCACATATGGGCCATATTCTAAATTATATGTCATATTCTACTTCTAGTTTGCAACTTATCGGCCAAAATGTGGGAAGCATGATTTGTCATTGTTATTCTGAATTTGATTGTTTATTGCATTGATCAGAGTTCTTAAGGCTTTCTTAGTGGTTTTCTTAGCAGGTTGCTAGAGGACACATGCCTGCTTGTGGGTGGAGAATCCCACTGTATTCCTCTACTCAATCCCCTGAGTAATAGACCTAACTCTGTGAGTACTGGGATCAGACTGTGACCGACCAAATAGCCTTCTGATTTACCAACTTTTCCCAGCAGCTGGATCATGTTGATTAAAAGAAGTTAGAGGATGGGGGACACTGGGGTAAGCAGGATCCACCCAAACATAACAGTATCAGTGTCCAAAGTAGCTCAACTGATTGTTGCTGATCTGTTTCTGCCTTCATGGCGAGGCATTAGCTTTCCTAGGTATACCACACTGCCACGTCTTGGGGTACTTCCCAAGGTATCTGTTACTCTTCTATTTCTCTCATCCTTATCTCTAAATTTCCTAGTCTAAGCTCTAGGGCTACTTCCCTAAGATGCCTTCCTTTTCCATGGTTAGCTACTCTTGAGTCACCATGGCACAACTACTGAGTCAGATGATATCATGTTTCCTAGTGAAGCTTCTGGCCAGTAGAGCTTGCTCCATTTGCCTTCCCATACCTTCCTATTTCCTCCTACTCCTCAAGCCTCCCTGCTCAGCCTGGTCTGCACGATTCCATGTTTGCACCACAGAGCCTATGTCTTTGGAAGATTATGTTGTCAGTCATAGTCTTACACCAGGTTGTCATGTGATCCCTCAAGGATTAAGGAGATGAATGCTGGGGCATTGGCCTCCAGTAGCTTGTTATTGTTACATTAATATAGTAATTGTATAAGTTGCCCCTTTGGTTTGGATCGATGCAGTCTGCATCAATACAGATCTTCTCATGTTTCTCTGAACTTAGCATTTTCATCACTTCCTAAGGTACACTAATATTCCATTTGGTTAGCCATTCCTCAATTCAAGAACACCACTTTTGATTCCACTTTTTCACTACCACGAGAAGTAAGCCTCCAGA